CATAATCTCTGAATGCTCCTCCAGGGTGAGCACTAGAGCCGGAATGACTCATTGAACTGGAATATTTGTGTCGAGTGCCAAAACTTATAAACATATATATTCCTTTGAAATATTCTGCCGGTTCACTAGTTTAACAAACTCACAAGAGTTTTCTACCGAAAATAACCAAAATTCGGTCACTTTTATTAATTATTAGTTGATATCAATTTGACAATAGAAATATATAATAGGAAATTGCCTTTTTTAGAGGTTAGGGAAGATGGTAGGATAGGCAGAGATGCTTATAAGAAACTAGCACATGTTGGTTTTGTTTCTAATTTCCTTTTTAACCATGTTGCAAAACTAAAGTTGGAATTTAAAGATCTATGACCATTAGTAGTATGAAGCTTGCAGATGAAAATCATCTGACCGAAGAGTTAAGAAGACTGAAAGTTTTATTCCTGGAGAATAATTGTCCTTTTGGCTAAATTGATAATAATATAATGGGGAACAAATTTTCAGGCGGAGACTATTTTGTCAGAGGCAAGACGAGAACCTTTCTCATGTTCTAATCTTGCCAAGAAGATAAGAGAACGAGTGGGGAAATGGAGAATAAAGACAGTTTTAAATGAAACTCTGACACTTTATTCTGCTATGTCTTCCTTTAGAGAAATATGACCCATTATCAAGACCCGGCTGTTGTGGTCGACCTAATGTTTTCGAGATTTATCGGCTGATCCGCCAAAGATTAGCGAAGCCCAAAAATACTTGTAAAGGCAACTGGGTCGAACGATCATAAGTGACGGAACACATGACAGGGACTGGACATGAGATAGAATGATCTCGCATGCATAGGTTTGCTGATTATGGTACGTCTGCTGATAAAAGGAAGATAATAGAGGATAATGAAGTTAATATATTAGGGAATACGTTAAATATGGGGAATTGTGGTAGAAAGTTGAGTAGGAATTACTTATGCTTGATTGAAAGATGGAAAGAGAGAGGGAGCTGAGCCGCCATCCCAAAGAAGACGACCAAATTTGTCAGATGACTGACGGTTCTAAACAAGTTAACACTCGCCCAACAGACATGTCAAGTTCATCAATCAAAACGGACGTGAGTGGCTACGCAATATCAGCATTTGGGTAATTAAACCTTAATAACCCAGACTAACTAGTTCGGACTGGTGGTTTCGTAAGCACAATTTTACGTGTACAAACTTACATTTAATTGACTTAACCATTGTTACTTACGAACTAAAGCAATTTTTCATTGTCTTTTCTCATCCTTTTCCTTTGGGTCCTTAAACCTTGATGAACCAAGCTGATGTTAAGCTTTTTTCTAATAACTCTTAGTTATGGCCGGTTTTGCGTACAGACGTTAACACACGGACACACGAACACACACATACACGCTCGAGTACATGCAAATTAACCAAATCGTTCTATAACCATTTATATCTTAAATTTTGCTCGCAACGAGTATATATATCATAGGGAAAAAGCCAGTAAATACATTTCGTCAATAATCTCATCTATAATGGAAAATTGATGACATCCATTTTCGCTATGTCAAGTCAATCTCGATTTCTCTTCTCAAAAATAAAAGACACTCGAAAGACCTGGGTTCTATCTAGTAGACCTTTGACGACATTATGTCGTTCGAGGCTACTTTATTTTATACTTAGACATACTTAGTAAATGTAAACAAAAGCTGCTGCTGAGGTTCACCAGCCATAAGCACACTAGAAGCCCCTTCCTTCCATCATTTTTCTTACTAAATCAGGTACACACTTTACCTCTACAAGATGAGATTAATAAAGTAGAAAAGAGTTCAAATCTACTACAAAAGTCGTGCCCAACAATGAGTAACACAAGTAATGGACCAAGAGAAATAAAAATCAAATACACTTAGCTTATCATTATTCTACCAATAGCTTGATGAGAGTAAGTGTGCATATAAGCATTTACATACATGTAAATAAGGAAACGCGCTAGGCGAAGAGATTCGAAGGTTCAGCATTTCAGTCATAGTAGTGGGTATAACAGACACAAGATATAAGAATATTAATGTGCATTAGGCTAGTAGATAGAAATTACCTTATAAAGCAGTAATTGCAACTCCTGAAACTGCACAAATAAGTAATAACATAAAAATCAAGAAAATATAAACCAAAGTCGAAAATTCAAGATACCAGAATTCCATTAGTGGTAATAAGAACCAAAATTGTCCCACTGTGTATATGGCTATGAGACAGGTAGATGAAAAGACTAGAAATTAAAAAGAGCATAGGACGAAAATAAGTTGACGGAGAATAGGGGTGATCCAAGAAAAGCGTACCCTGTAAGATGTGTGAACGCTTGAAAACCGGCCTTGGAAGCGACTAGTCGTCGGAGCGCATGAAATGATGCTTCCAGGTGAAGAAGTTCTCTCGTTTGCCGATAGTTTGCTTCATCTACTGCTTCGACCCTAGCCCCATTCCCTCCAAATGCCCAACTTTCACGGGCAGTCTTATCAAGACCGCGTGGTAATGAACCGGAGCTATAAGGTCCGGTAGATGTGGGAGTCGAAGGATTAGATACCGAGGTGAGTGCAGAAGTAGAGTTACCCGAGATGGAGGAATACATATGGGAATGGTTGTTGTTTATTGCTGATGAGGAGGAGAAGGAGGCTGAGCTGGAGAGATGACTATTAGAGAAAGTGGCTGCTGGGCGAACAAGCAGCAGGGCGGATATAGCATCTTTGATAAGCTTCTCCTTGTTCTCAGCAAACACACCCTGTATAGATATGGAGAAGGGAAAGAAGTTTTCAGTTAAGGTAATGAGCAGAGTATATACCTTGAATGGAAATATTGAACAAATTTGGACTGAAAACAAAAAAGTCAAATGGAATAATAAAATTAATTCTCCCCTTCATTTAAAACTTACATCTTGCGTAACAGCATGCAGAAGACCACTGTAGGAAATATTTGCATTAAATCGCTCAATTACTTCTGAGAAGGAAAGACCATCTGGAAAGCCAAAAATAAACGAATGATATTTTAAATTTGCCTTCCTTTTTCAGAGACTATGAAAAAGTTAATTAACGAAATTCCGGCCAGGAAAAGCAACATATGCAGTGGAAGACAAATGAATAAACAAAATAATAAACTATAAAATTTGCCTATAACAATGGATTGCAAACGAAATTATACTCTAACTGTCCTCTATAAAGAATATGCCGGCTGATTTTCTAAGCAACCTAAAATAAGATTTTTCCTCCATGAAATATTAAGATATAAGAGAAAGCCCACTACCAAGATTTTGTGCCTCCTTTTTATAGGTTGTATCCATAATCACAAATAGTTCATAAAATGAATACTGGGAGAAGATTTCTGAGTAGTATGAGATGGCAAAGGTTTAAATAGTAGTTCCAGGGTTCCATACACGAGATGGAATATATATCGCGCTTAGCAGAAGAGCTAATCGCCTATGCAATCACCCAACAGCCGTAGGAATTAATAAACGTACCTCCTATGAAAACGGTGATTTATAACCAAGCTAATATTTATTTAGTTTTAGCTTTATAAATGGGTTTCAGAGACTACCAGTAGATCATATATATGAAATGTATTCACCCTATTTCGTTTAAGGTGATAAGGAGACCGGTAATTGAATACTGGGCGTTTCGAAAACTTACTTATAAAACAAAAAATAAGTAATGTATCGGATTGCTATAGCAAATACTACTTAGCTTCATTGGCAATCCCGCCACAGAATGTGATATGGGAAAACGCCTTGCCTCCCTTGAAATTAGCATCTGCCCTGTGATCCAAGGGCACTAGTGGCAAGGCGGATTAGTGGTTAACGTGTCGAGATTAAACGCTGTACTGTCAAGGTTCGAGTCCTGCAGGGGGTGTTTATTAGACTTAGGTGAAGCCAAAATTGCAGTCCACTTTTGCTTTTGGAAAAGCAAGGCAAAGTGAAATTCAATGGAAACGTAAGGTTTAATCATGCCAATGTGGAAAAATTCAACTAGCACTCCCCTTATCACCTTAAACGAAATGGTTTATATATCTCATATATACGATTTACTTATAATTTAAGACTAGTAGGGTTTCATAACAGACGAAAATGAGAGCGGTGATCCTATAGGAAGCCCAAATGTCTGCTCATGGATTTTGCCGTTGAATGTGAAGTAGATAGTCATTATTGCAAAGTTGATTAGTTGTGTTAACGTCCCCATTCTCATACTCTCTGCTTCTAGGATATCCTCTTCTCGCCGCTAGCGCCTTTTCTCCATAAATGTTTACTCACATAAATTATGCATGAAAACTTACAAATAATTCTGTTTCTGAGATATGAAGAGAAGCTGGGTTTTAAGGAATTCCTTAATAGATTGATACTGGCGTACCTTTAATTTCGTTTGAGAAGGCGAGTCGAAGAT